AAAAATGGTTTGTTGTCTTGACTTTGTCATTACATTTTCTACAGTGTATAGAAGTCAATGGTTACAGGTTTTCAGCTTTTTTCAAAATATCTTTTTTTGTGTTCGACAGAAAAAAAATTGGAACCTTAGATTTTAATTTCACGTGGACTTTTGTCAAAACAGTAACTAGCCTTACAACTAGATCTCTGTGCACTATACAGTATCCTAAATTTAAGTGTTAACTGCATCAAGAACAATATCACAATAATAATAATAATAATAATAATAATAATAATAATAATAATAATAATAATAATAGAACAACCTGTTGATTTTTAAATATCAGTTTGTGCAGCCATCAAAGCTATAGCTAAACAAAAATCCTGTTAAAGTAAGATAAATCAAAGTGAATGTATAACAATGTCTTGTTTTGAGTTAAAGTTAATGATTAAGAGACAATTGTGGAAAAGACTGCTGGAGAAAGATTGAGAAATTTTGGGCAATACCGATATGACAGCATAACTGTTTTTGCAGATTTGTTGGCTGCACTTCCATGACGTGAATTTCTCCTTCCAGCACATCCCAAAAGAGCTCTAACAGACTGAAATCTGGTGGCTGTGGAGACTATGTTTGAGTTTAGAAAACTCGCTGTCATGTTCACAAAATTAAATTGAGATGATTTGAGCTTTGAGACTGGTACTAAAGCAGCTCAAAGTGGGCCAGGAAATGTCCCTCACACTATTAATACAGGGTCCAAGATGAATCTATGCTTTCATGTTGTTTACAGCAAATTCTGAGCCTTCCATCCCATTATTAGCCGAAATTGACGCAAACTCAACATCAAATCCACGCAAACTTTTTCAGATCATCTCGAACAAAAAAATGCCAAACATGCACGCTGTCAATTCTCAGAGGAGGTTGTTTTTTGTTTCATTGATTTAATTTTGTCATGTATTTTAAAAGGACATCGATTTATTTTATAGCTGTGCTAATGAAAGACGTATGACAATTCCCGATTCCTGAAGACAAAAGTACAAGCACAAGGGCTTGTGTGTTTTGGGCACAGGCTCCCAAAAATGTGTGCACCATGTGTGAGCGAGAGAAAGAGAGCACCAATCAGCCCATCGTTGTGGAGCGAGCGATGATTTCATTTTGATCAAAGTACTGGGGTTCTGCAATGAAGGCCTGTGGTTTGTTATGATTCCCCTAAAAATTCCAATTGTTAAAAAAGGACGGCAAAAAAGTAAATATTATGCTAACGTGATTTGAGTGGATAATGTTTTCCATGTAATCAGGGAAGCAATAGTGAGAATGAGTTAATTGAATTTATGAGTTCTTATTTTGTTAATATGCAGCTGAAACCCTTTACTTAAAAAATATTAACTTATATTAAATATTTAAATATTAACTGTTAATATTGACTGTTTTTTTTTTTTACTTTATTTTTTTTTTTGGACTTTGATATCTGCCCTAAAATTTTAATCTTGAGAATGTATTTGTCACGATCACCAGCGTTTTAGTCTGTGAAGATCTCTGGAGAACTACACATCTGCAGTTATATGAAATACAATTCCCAGACGTCTTTGCACTCACACACCAGTTCCTGATTCCCTCTGACACTATTCCTATTACACAGTGATGACTGATTACTAGGACTATATAAAGACAATTCATTCACACACAATCGTTGCTGAGTCTTGTAAACTGTAAGTGAGCATAATAAAGTGTTTTCTTTGTCTTGCTTGCTTTGTTTTACTGTTTACATTGTCTTGCTGCTTGTCCTGACTATTTGTCTGTCATGTGACTATGCTTTTGGATTATCTGCATTATCTATATTTTATTACAGTATAGTTTTTTATTCATTACCAATTTATGTCATGTAATGCAAATAACAATTCTGTTACAGGAATATCAAACCTAAAGTGTAATGAACAAACCTTCCCATGAACTTTATTTCAACATTTCCTCAGCCAGTATTATTTCTGATAAAGCATATGAGGTAGAAATCTGGGTTAGGAGTACCTGTTCCCAGATCAGTGGAGTGAGTATAAATAGCTTGACCTGAGATGCCATTAACAGAAGTGAATCTCAGGGGTCACATAAAACAATAATTCCAGAAAGCCAGAGAGGAGAGGAACATGCTGTGTCTTTAACAAAAGCTAATAGAATCATTCTGCTGAAATAGTATGGTGGATTTGACATATGGACTTTGTTTGGCATTGAACGTTATCTCAAACACATGACAGAAAACATGACATTTTACACTAAGCATGCTTCTTTCGGTACTGCTTTGTGGCTGTTTGTTCACCAATATTCCACATTTATCACTTCATCTTTTCTTTAAATTGAAACCTGTGCTTCCTCTTAAGAGATGTTTTTTTTCTGCATATTCCTGCACTATCAAACTAAAAAGCTAAAGTAACTCAAACCATTTGAGGAAACCGATTGAAACAAACCATTTATGTTCAAAAACTAATCCAAATGAGTAATGAACTAAATCCATTTGAGTAAACAAAGCAATTTGAGCACAGTAAAACCCAATAAATGAAGAGAACTCAAACCAACTGAGTACTGTAAAACCTAATAAGTTAAGGCAACTCAAACCATTTGAGGAAACTATGACAACAAACCATTTGAGTTACAAAAAACAAATCTATATGAGTTCTGTGAACTTACTCTATTTAAGTTAATAAAGTATTTAATTAACTAATTACCTTCAACGCTGAGTTCAAAACTCTTTTCAAATGAGTAGACTTAACTTTCAGTCAATTTTGAGTTAACAACACTCATTTCATTTGATAAAGTTGACTGTTGGGTTTTACAGTGTGAGATAGGTTTTCATCCTGTATTTATGTTCATTATTAAATAATAGAGACAAAAAATAATATACTGGTTTATCTAATAATAATAAAAATTCATTCATTCATTTATTTATTCATTTTCCTTCAGCTTAGTCCACCGTGCCACCTCATAATAATAATAATAATAATAATAATAATAATAATAATAATAATAATAATAATAATAATAGCAATAATAATAATAAACAAGTTATATATATATATATATATATATATATATATATATATATATATATATATATATATATATATATATATATATATATATATATATGTTAATCTTTAAATACATTAAAAACTAATTAATATTATTGAATTTCGCTAATGATTTATTAAGCTAGGACTTAAAATGCAAAAGTTAGTAGTATATGGGTCAATGATCTAAATAAATAAAGATCAGAATCAGAATCGGTTTTATTGCCAAGCGTGCTTTCATACACAAGGAATTTGTTTTGGCTACAGAAGCTTCCAGTGTACATAAAGTGACAAGTGACAACATGAATATGAATATGAAAAAAGACAACAAACATTAAACAGACATGCACTCAGTCAAAAAGCTCCGAATGTTGAATTGTATATACAGATTTGTTATGAACATACAAGTATTTACATATATGCACGTATATATTTATTTATTATAAATACAAGATGTTTACGCATCAAAAGTAATGAAGCTTAATTTCCCTCTAGAGCATGTGTCTATTTTATAATAAAATTTAATAATAAAAAATAAGAGTAATTCAATTTAATTTAAATTGCATTCAATAAAGGATCATTTAACTTATACTTGAAGATGAAAACATTATGTGTATGTACCAACATTATTTGTCAGGCATATTACAACAAGATTGCTCCGGTTTTCCCCACAGTCCAAAGACATGTGCTAGTTGAATTGGGTACGCTAAATGGGCCATAGTGTATGTGTGGAAATGAGAGTGTATGGGTGTTTCCCAGTCATGGCTTGCAGTTGGAAGGGCATCCGCTGTGTAAAACATGTGCTGGATAAGTTGGCGGTTCATTCCGCTAAATAATAACGGGTCTAAGCTGAAAAGAAAATGAATGAATTTTTATAAACAGTATCTGCCAAATCACTAGATGTTATCCAATTCTTAGTAAAGAACAAAATAAATGTATATAATTTTATAAATAAGTCAAAAAAGTATGTTGTTTAGCTATGGCATAAATGTAAATCTGTTGTAGTTTTATTCTCTCGAAATCTATTTCAAACATCAAATATGATCATTTTCATCCTTAAAAATCACTTTTGTAAATGTCATGTCTGTCATCTTTAATCTGCAAATCCAGCATTAACACTTTTGCTAGTTACAATAATTAAGTTAAGCTATTTACCAAATAAAGCTGAAATTATGATAAAGATATTAAAATAATTAGTAACCAAATATATAGCCACAAATGGCAAAATACAATGTAACTGAAAATATCATATACATAGTAAAATAATTGAAAACAGAAAAGTGCAGAGATATTTGTCAGTCCATGTATTTATATTTGAAGTTATAGAATAGATTGAGCTTGCATATCTTTTATGGAGAGATTTCGGATAGTCTGATACAGTGCTCAACATATATAAGTACACCTCTCACAAATCTCTCATTTAGATTAATATTTTCTATCAGAAGCTTTACAATATTATATTTGTGCAGATATTGTACATTAGATTAGTCAGTAACAAAGCTAAATGTGGAGCTAATCTAACAAAGTAACCCATGATAATGGTCCAAAATTAGTACACACAAATTTATATGCAGGAACAAATATTAAAATTTTTATTAAAAAACAGAAAATTTAAGAGAAACAAAACAATTGTTAAATTACAATATTTTGAAATGTAATATCTCTATATTTAAATATGCTCTGTGACTATTATTTTAATAAATATATCCGTTTAATCAATCTGTTTTGTTGAAATGCACCATAATATATGGCCTATATTCACTGAGAAAATTCAATCAACTGAGATGTTCGGTTTCAAAATGGGGTGTACACATTTATGTAGAGCACTGTATGTCTGTGTGATCTGTGACTGTAGTGGAGGGGCGTGACACTCACTCAAGCGCTCTTAGCTCCGCCCACTATGTAAATGAGTCAGTGTGGCGCTTGTGTCCTCGCGCTCACTCAATGAGCACTGAGGCAGGAGGAGTGTCTGACTGTTTACATCTCGTTTCGGGGGGCCGACAGATATTCTCCTCCAGCATGGTGTCGGTGTGGAATTATCGCTCTCTGGACCTTTGAGAAATAAACGCGGCGAGCGCTAAACGGTGACCCGGCTTTGAGCCATGGGAGGCCAGATAACCCGAAACGCCTTGTACGGTGAGCAACTGATCTCCAATCAACCGCTGAATGATGTTTCTTCTGTATGCCTGCTGATGATTGTGAAGAATAGATAGGTTTAATGGAAAGCGCCTGTGTGAGAGAGTCACGTAGATGGTGGTATGCTTAAAACGTAAAGCACATTCGTACACAAGTCTCTAGTTTTAACGTTGATATTATTTGTTTAGGTTTCTGGAGATTTTACGCTCTGAATATGCGAGCGCGTCTCCGCGTCCGGGGGCTTGTGCCAGTGAACGCGCGTTCTACATCAGACGTGTTTCCCCCACAGCAGCTTGAACGCGTGAGAAAGGGAAGGGAATTTGTGGGGATTCCCTCTGTTCTTGGGGAAAGGCAGGAATTACTTCGGGTTTTCCAGTGCGTTACGTTTTATTGTGGAAAAGTCCATGGAGCAGCAGCTGGCTCATAAGAGAAGCCAATAAATCAATTGATTAGGTCTTACATTAAATGCATGGTTGGGTACACAATAGACACGTCCTGAAATTCTTGTTGTGGCTGTTACATAGCCAGGTGTTGGCAGACAGGTCTAAGATGCATTCCTTGCTAAACTTGAAACTAGTATCTGGGTTAATAAAAAATGCTGGGTTGTTTTCTAATCTAATGTTGAGTCAAACCCAACCGTTGGGTTAATAAAATGTAATTTCAATTGGATTTTAAAAAATCATGTTGAGATCGTCCATACTTGACCCAAAGTTTGGGTTAAAATAACCGGATGCATATGACAATAGTTTTGTGTGTGTGTGTGTGTGTGTGTGTGTGTGTGTGTGTGTGAAGAATTCAGATTAGGCTGCACAATATTGTAAAAAATCTGATATTGCGATGTTTTATTTTTCAGCGATTAATATTGCGATATGAATACAGTTTCGATAGTTTTCTGGGGAGGCTAACAGTATTCAGGTACAGAAATAAAAAAATGCCAATGCAAAAATATTTATGTATTTCATATTTTGTCTCGTTTCTTGTTGATCAAGTAAAAATATTGTTTTGTTTTTGACTTCAGAAGAAATATGCCAAAAGTAGGAGTTTTTCCTTAAACCATGCTAAATTATCTGTCAATTTGAATACAGTTTTGCAAGACAGTTTAAATAGCTCTATTCGAGAGTTTTCTGGGGAGTCTAACAGTATTTTCAGGTACAAAAATTAAATATATTGCAATGCCAAAAAATATTTATGTATTTTATAATTTGTTTCGTTTCTTGTCCAATTTTCTTGTAGATAAAGTAAAAATATTGTTTTGTTTTCGCCTTTAGAAGAACATGCTAAATTCTCTGCCAATATGAATACAGTTTCGCAAGATAGTTTGAATAGCTCTATTTGATGGTTCTCTGAGGAGTAACAGTATGCAGGTACAGAAATTTAATAATTGCAAACTATTTATGTATTTCATCCTTTGTCACATTTCTTGTCCAAATTTCTTGTAGATCAAGTAAAAATATTTAGTTTTCGCCCTCAGAATAAATAAATCAAAATCGAGAGTTTTTTCTTAAAACATGCTAAATTCTCTGCCTTTGGGGTTATTAAAATAATCGTATTTTCACTTTGAAACGTAGATATTTGGACTAGAAACAAGACAAACAATCTAAAAAAGAAAAACTCTTAATTAAATACAATTATTCTTGGTTACGCCTCCAAACATCCTACTTTTTTGTGGCCAAACACTCCTGAAATGCTCAACCAAGGCCTTACAAAAAACATGCAAATGATAAACCTTCACTCTATTATGGTTAAACTTAGCAGTGACTCAAATTAAGATGTGTTTTAATCACAAATCAGAAGTGTTCTGTGGCTCCTTGTCAACTATAATCCAGACTAACATTGCAGACCTTGCGATGTGGCTACTGCAGATGTGCACATTGTGATATCGATGCTAAAAAGATATATTGTGCAGCCCTAAGATGGAAAAATCCAAGTGCCAACTAATATTTTCATTTCTCTGTGTTTTTATGGTAAATAATAGGTTATTATCATTTAATTAAAATATCTGAACATAAACGTTGGAGGCTGAAAAAATGCTAATTATAGAAGAAAATTCCAGATTTATACTAGTAACTATTCTATTTGAAAGTAGAATTAAAGTACTGGATGATACTACTGTATACCAAATTCAATTGTTGCCTATACTGCTATAAATGCATCTATGGTTAGCAAGCAGACTACCTACTGTACACAGACATATTCATCGTGGTTTAAATGTCACAGGTTGATCTGGTACAGGATGTTTCCGTTGGCCTGCAGGGCGATTGGCTGACAATCTTCCATGTGTCTGTGTGTGTGTGTCTGTAACTGAAACAAGCACAAAGCAGTTGGCTTATGTAAATCTCCCAGTCTTACTTTGTCTCCGACTTCAGCTCATTGGCCTGGAGTTAATCTGAACCCTTGGTGGATGTGACCCACTTGATCATTAATTCTAATTAAAGCATATACTGAATATATCACATCCGATTACATAAACAGGGACTAGAGATTTAACGGTGTGTGTAGTAACACCTGATAGTATAGAAAGTGCACTTGTTCCAAACATATAGTAAAAGAATGTTTAAATTAAAGTAAATAAATTACATTGCAAAACTGCTATGGTTGATATCAGCGCAACAGCCTGACATTTTAAAAACAAATCAGTCAGCTCCAAAATGAAAATGTAAAACAAGAAAAAAAGTATTTAGAGAGATAGTTGACCCAAAACTGAAAATGCTGTCATCATTTAAGACTTGTTTCCACTGAGTGATACAGTACAGTTTGGTATGGGTCACCTTTATCAGGCTTGTTTCTCCACTGCCAAATGGTACCCTTTTGGTAAGCGTGGTGTGCGACAGAAAGTTGTAGTAGGTGTCATTTTCGCTGGAGGAAATGTTAAAGTAAAAGCTATAAGGGTTGTTCATGTATCATATACAAAACAGATGCTTTATACACATAAATTGGCCTAATTTTATATAAATGTTAATAACTAACCTTTCTATGAACAGGATTTGATTATAGCTGCAGATCAATGATAATGCAAAATGGTGCTGTGACGTTTAACATCTGCGATTATTAAAAAAAAAAAAAACATTTATGAAAACATACAGAGCCTTACAGTCTCTGAAATGTTACCAATTACAAAAATACCCAAAACATACATTCAGGCCTTATCTGGGTTCATAAACAATATGAAACATATACAGTCAGTTAGGCATGGGGCGATAACCGTTTTTAAGGTATACCGCGGTTTGGAAAAGTCAAGGTTTTAAAACCTCCAACATTTTCTGTAAAACCGTTCCTAAGAAATGTGAAAAATGTTTTCTGTACTTTTTTTTTAATTTTTTTGTTTTGTTTTTTGGGACAAAAGTATCTCCAGCAGAAATGATATCCAAAGATGCCGTTTTAAATGTTAAAGAAATCTGTGTTTGAAACTAATGAAGACAGCAGAAGTCAATGATTCACGTTTTCAACGTGGAAATTTAATTAAAATTATATTAAAATAAATATAAAATAATATATTTTAGAAGCGTTATCACAATATCCTGATACCATAAAACCAAAATCCAAATCTTATACCGGCCCATGTCTACTAGTCATTACAAACCTCTCATCTTTATTTTTTAGGTTGCTGAAAGAATCATTTGCTCCTATGTTTTTTCAGGCTTTTTTTTTTTTAACGCGCCAATCTAACGATTGTCTGTTTCTGAAAAGATGTTGAAGCTCTTCATTAATCAAGGGCATGCTATTAAATCAGGTCGAGTTGGTTATTTTAAATAATGATGCGCACGTGAGCTCGAGAAAGTGAAACTGCACGTGCTTTTAGACGCCTCATAAACAACAGCAAGACACATGGCAGATTCTGCTCTTCTTCTTGGCTTTGTAACTGTTCATCAAGACGACGACAAAATTTGTTTAAGCTCAGGTCGATCAAGGCTCATGATTATATGTATATATTATTATGAAGTAATGTTTCGGCTGTGTATTTAAAAATGTTGCTTCCTTTGTTTACATTCTCCTGGCTTGTGCATACGCTAGTGGTGTTTCTCTGTAAACTAATAGCGTTCATCATTTGGAATGGGTACACAAAAAGTGGTATGGTACGGTTTGCTTTTTGGTATCTTTTGATAGTGGAAACGGACATAAATGGGTACCAAACCGTACTGTTCCACTTAGTAAAAATTGGCCATTGCTTATTATTACGATAATTATTGTGAAACCTCAATTGGATTTAACTGCATGAGTTGTTTTCTTCTTTTTTAACACATTTTGAAGAAGAATGTTGTAAAGCAGCAGCCATTGACATCCATAGTATCTTTTGTTCCTACAATGGATGTTAATGGCTGCTGGTTCCCAACATTCTTCCGAATATCTTCTTTTGTGTTCAACAAAAGAAAGAAATGTGAGGAAATGGTGAGGAAATGTCAATTTTTGTGGTGAACTGTCCCTTTAAGAACCATTCAAAGTCCATTTTAAAAGTGTATGCATTCATTTAAGGTCTTGAACTTGACCCTAAATATTTTTAATTGTGTATCTGAAGAGTGTTAAGAAGACAAAGGAAATGTTTGGTAGAAAACAGGATTGGGAAATGACGCAAGCCAGATTCGAACGTCATTTTCGCTTAACGTATTAAGCACATGCACCACTAGGTCACTGCTGCACCAGTTATTTTAGAAAAGAAAGGAAAAGCATGACTTATTTAAGGATGCTTGTAGGTCAAATCTTTTCAGTTCCCATTTTTCAGAGTTTTGTTTTTGCAGTTCAAGTTGCCGTAGGATGACAGCGGATACAAACTGCTTATCCGGACACGCACACCTCGCTCACCTCCGATTTTCAGTGCTTTATCTGATCATTGTATGAAACTTGAAACTGTCTAGAGAACAAGACTGTCTGGTTTGTAGTGTGTAAAAACACTGTGTGTGTTGAAGGCTGTTGGGTGTTTCTCCTGCACCTCTGGAACACATCCTGGCCTCCGAGGCAGGAAATAGATGAATAAGAAGGTTTTTTAATATAGAATGGCTGTCAAA